AAATAAATAGATAAGTGATCATGAGTATATGAGTAATAGAGCGAGAGAGCAAGAGCGAATAAGCTATGGAAAGGTTTCAGAAAAATTCCAGGTTTTGAAAAATACCAAATTCACCATGCAAGCCTACGTTACGTAAGTAGTACAAGGTGTACAATCACCCCCAAGACATCGGCTATGTGCCCATAAACCAGAAGCCATAATAGCCCCAGGACGGGCAGTATAAGAGAAGGAGGAAGAAGCATGCGGGAAAAGGAGGGCAGGGCATATTGCCCTGCCCTCCAGGGGTGGCAGCCCCGATTTAGGGGGCCTGAAGGGGGGAGAAGCAGGAGGAGGACGGGTAGAGGTAAAGAATCGGCTGGCAGGAGCTTCTGGGCCTCTAGCCTGGGTCCTTGGTCCTGGGTCCCTAGATCCAAGGGGGCCTCTAGTGCGAGTGACCCCCTAATGGCCCGGGTATTACACCCATGCTGGGGTGCAGATACTGGGGTACCGCACACACGGGGATGGATTCACACACACTTTCACGCACCCGGAACGCCAGATAACAATTGAGTCTTGGGTGTGTAAGGGGAATGTCAATACGGCAGAATAGCATGCGTTGTGGACGCATTAAGGATAGGTTGTCACAATGCGTTCTGATGCGTTCTTTTATGAATGCAGGGAGATATGCCGACATTCTCTGCGTCGTTGACTATAAATCTACATTCAGAAAAAAGAAAATTGTCATAAATGCGTGAAATAAACCCGTTTTCGCTCGATTCGCCATTCAAAAATGCGATTTGATGCGTCTGGCTAAAGGCCCGTTTACAACTGGCCCTCCCCGGGTCGCGTGTGAGGTGCCTAAGCCTTCAAGACGCATCAAGGAGAGCTCGCGAGTATCAGCTAAAGCCAAAAATTGCCATGGGGAGCATAATCGGTGCCAAACGAATCGGTTGATCCCGATTTCCGCCTAAAACCGAATTCCTGCAGGTGCTTTTCATTCTCAAAAGAGTGAGTGGATTAAAGAGTTGTTTGGTTTTCGAAAAACGCATAATTTTCTATAATGCTTCCGTTGTTTCTGGCACCACCCCTTTAAATGGAAAAACAGTGTAAACAGGTGCGAATCGACGGACACGGACTGACTGAAAAACTTCTAAAGGGACAGTGAGGTCGAATATTTCAGTGTTTATTCCCGATGACCCAAAATTAGCCATTTTTCTAGAACTCATGGCAAAATTTAGAATTTAGTTCTACTAAAAATCCTTAATCGCTCCAAAATACATACTTGTCTACGATGCGGGCCGTTTAGCGATGCGGACGTAAATCTTTCAGGGTGTGGCCCTCCTCCCCCCCCCTTCAGGGCCCTAAGAAAAAGCGCAAAGTACCAGATGGGGGAGGGTGGAAGGAAATGCGCTGTGTTTCGGCTCGTAAAACCCTCTTCGGCCGCCTCGCGGATCAGTGCAACAAATTTCGCTAGTTGTAATTTTGTTGAACAGCTAAAATCTCTCTTAAAAAGTTCAGAATTTTATTTAAAGCACAATTGAAGCTACAAACTTCATAACAGCTCTAATAAATCGTAAGCATACCAGAAAAGCTAAGAAAACTATCCGGTAAAAATCCATGAAAAAAACCGCACGTTTGAGGTTTAAAAAAGTATCTTTGAGGAGATTTTTTGATACAAATTGGATAAAATATAAATTTAAACAGCAAAATTGAATCAATTTAGACAAACAAAAATAATGACTCAACGCCCTTCCCCTATTATTTTAGGCACAGGCTTATCATCCCTTCCGGGGCGTGAGAAAAGCATGTGGGCGACGACCGGCCAGGCGAACCGCTTACCCCATTAAATTGCTCATAAATTCGGGGTGGATAGGAAAATCGAGCCTGAAAATTGAATCCAAACCCTAAAAAAATCGAAAAGCTCCCAATAAATCGACAAAACTAGGGCGCGGCTCTTTTCGGGGCCGAAAAAAAATGGAAACCGAGCCTGAGCCTCAAGTGCTGCATGGGACGAGCATGACCTTGAATCGGTGAAACATGGGAATTTCGAGGGCGTGCTTTTCAATGGAATTCCAAACGGATTACAAAATACGGTTACGGAACGATAACAAAAAAATTAGAGCACGATTTTGTGACTTAAGGTGCGCTACGACGAAAATGCCTAAGTCCCCTTGAAAACAGCCACTTCCCTTTTATTCTTAAAAATGTCTGCTATTTTAAGTTACATCCGGTTGAAATTTCACTGTATTTTGGAACTAGGAAACACCAAAAAAGATATATAAAATTCCAAAAGGAGAAAAAACTTATGGTTTTTGCAAGATAATACACAGAAAATCAATTGTTTTCGTCGCGAATTCTTGCTTCAATGCTTATTCTAATTATTAATCCTTTGGAAAACGATGCGTAAATGTTATCGAATTTAAAAACTGGAAACAGGAAATAAAATCCAGATTTTGAGCGTTTCTGGCATTCTCAGCGTATTTTTAGAGCATATTAAACTAGTTTCCTCAAAAATTCATGGTAAACCAGTGTTGAAAAACCGCTTCGCAGCTTTTCAACCCTGGCCCCGTCCAGGACCTGTGAAAGTCCTTAATTTGCATGTTTCTTCCTGAATTCTAGCAAGAAAAAAAAGTGAAAAACGGCTCCTCTGTCCCTTTATATAGGCTCTTCCTACTTCCGGCGTATGCTAATTTCCCCTAACAAACAGGGTTTTACAAAAACCTATTTTTAATAGCGAAAACCGCCACTTTTCAAAATTTTTATGTGTGTGCAGTCGATTCCGGACCATTCTAAACCTATTGTCGTTTCTTCCCTATCCAAAAAACCCTTCCCCAAGGCTGTAGGAGCGGAACATCCTAACGGAAGTGCATGCAAATATACACACACACACACACAGACACTATTTTTTTATATATAGTAGGATTAGTAAATGCTCATGACAAATAATTGACGAAAACTGCAAAAAAATATATGGTCAAACCATCGCACAACTACGATTAGCGGCAAAATTCCGAAAATCCAATACCACAAATTACAGCATTTAAGCGCTATAATTTATCGGCTGGCAATAATCAGCCCTCCAGAAAATCAATAAAATGCCCGGCGATCAGGTTGCCGGGTGAAAAAGGCATTGAATGTGCCTGGGGGGCATCGGAGGTGGACACACATCAATTATCGACCCCCACGGCCTGGGGCGGCGGGTCCGAGTAGTAAAAGCACCCAGCCGGTGTTCCCCTCCCGGGTGAGGGCGAGAGAGCACGAGCAGTGAAGATAACCCAGACACGCGACGCGTGCACGCAACGCCCCGAGAAATGGAGAGGGAACGGGGGACGACTATCGGGGAGGTCTCGACCACTCATCTCCATCCCCCAAACAGACAGACAGACAGACAGACACACATACGGGGTTCGTTGGGGAACTGAGGATCCGTGTCTGACAAGCCCCCTCAAGTGGCCCTACGCACCCCCTAGGAAATCCCGGCCTCACTAGCCGTGTTTTTTGTGTGATGGAAAAGGGTCGGTTTTCCGACAAAAAACGTAGCGCTAAAGTTTTTTTTTAATATTTTCGGTTTTAATAAATCTTAATTGATTTGTTTTGCTACTTTTTGATGGCAAGGGTTCAGAAGTATTTAAGTCTGGATCTTCAGGATCTGAGCTTTCAAAAACCATGCGGTCGTGCTACCAATTTTTAAAAAATTCATGATTTTGTATTTTTTTTGTAAGATTGTAGTTAGTACACCTTTTTAAACGTAGAAAGCTTGGCGGGACTCTCTTTTGCAGCATGCAGGCCAATCTAGCCGAGACGAAGGTTAAAACTATTTGCCAGATTTCTAGTCCCTTGAAATATCGTTTTCGTATCATTAATCTGTCAAATATAGCCTTGAAAAGTGAACCAGCAAATTTTAAGGACGTCTGAAAAGACTCAAATCTGATACGATAGTTGCTATCAAATTTCTGTTGTTTCATAAAGTCCAGAAAACGATTTTATTACAAATACAAACCACACAAATGCATCAAAACGAACACAAAATTTGGTCGAAGCAAGCTGAAATGAATCGGAAGCTGTCAATCGATAGGCATAGCTTTGGGCAACTTTGTAGACCTGTACAAATCGGCAAATCAAAACCAGACTGAAAGCTTGGCTTTTAAAGGCATATTGAAGGCCGGGAAAACATGAGAAAAAAAATTGAAAAACTCTATAACGATGCACATGAAATTGTACTCAATGAGGGAGAGAGAGAGAGAGAGAGAGAGAGAGAGAGAGAGAGAGAGAGAGAGAGAGAGAAAGAGAGCGGAGCGGAGTAGGAGAGAGCATGATACTGAGAGTGAGAAAAAGCGACAGAAAATTCACAAATGAGATCAAACCATATCGATCAGACCCTAAAAACCTTGGCCTGGGGGTACAAATTGTATTTTCTTCGAGGTTGTTCTTGCGGAGAATCCTGCAGTGCTACCAGAACCACCGATCTCCCTTGATTACGGTAGTTTGGTGTTTGTAAAGGTTCGTCCTGCATCGCTACGAGACGCACCGATCGTTCTACGGTTTTAGTACCACCAGTTGTGCCGGTGGAGAAGATCTCTCCGGATACTGTAGTACCACCACGTCGGGTGGTTCGGGCTTGGAGGCGTTCTCTGAAAAACTTTTCATGAAGCTAGAAAAGGCAAGTTAGCGGATTTCTTTTGGGAATGTCGAAACTTAGCTAGTCATCAGTCTAACCTTGGGGATAAAAATTCTTCGGGCAGGAACAATTAGGATAAAAATCTTCGGGCGCCTGGCAAGATAGCATAGATTCTTTAGGGATTATTCCAAGAAGCGTGGCAGTCTGGCAGACATCATTTGGGAATCCCACTGGTCTACTATAACTTAAAATTCGGCAAACTAGCGGAGATTTTTTGGGAATTCGTTTAGAACCGCTCTTATTTGAAACCCAGAAAGCTATGCGGTATTTTTTAATCCAATTTTGATCCAATCTAGCATATTGTACGGTATTCTTTCAAATTGCACGAGAATGCTTTATTACTTACCGCCTCCTCTGCTTCAACCTCTCAAAAAAAAGTCATCGTCCTCGAGATTGTTATCCTGTATCCGGGGCCGGGGACTGGCCGAGGGGATTAGTCGCATCCGGACCCGACGCATATCCTCTAGCAGGTTATCAACTTCGTATTTCCGCCTGATCAGCGCCAACTGCTCTTTTGCAGATTTCCATAGGACGTCCACGTGGAAGGAGCGCGAAAACTAAAATAGTTTTGTTAAAATACCTTATAAATTATTTTGATTTTTTTGATATTATCTATATCTAATGTTGCTAATGGCAAAATCCGTTTTCTGGGGCCGTTTAAATAGCTATTTTTGGCCTACCAAATGCATCTCGGCTCCAGCCAACGTGTATGGAGGAACTCCGCATCGTGACGAGTCCCCAATCCATTCATCTTGGGGATTATAGATAGCGAGCACCTCGGCTGCCTCGTAGCCGTGCCTGGAATTTGCCAAAAATGTTTTTTTTTTGGTCATAACCTCCAACTTTCACAAATTGACCTGAAGTCCGGGTTTCTGGAGCGATTACGATCAAGATCGAGAGCGAGCGAGGGGCTGGTGAGAGGCAAGAGAGAGACAGAAAGAGAGAGCCGGAGAGACAGCGTTACCTCGAGTTAATATCCCTGATGAAAGACGAATTACAGTACAATCCATCGACTGGCCCACAGAATTTCGTGTGGATGGCGTAGTGCAGAGATGAGAACCCTAAATTCCCCGTTGCTGTTGCATAAAAATGGTATTCCAGCTAAAAGAAATATTTTAAAATGTTCAAGGTCAAGATGGTAGCAGTGCGCTTTACATTTCACTCACCGAATTTGCGCCTCCGACAGACAGGAAAGTCTGCACTTTGCTGGTCAGCGGCGGTCCTAGATCGGTGGAATTGTGGTCAACACATAGGCCTCCGAGGATTGCCTAAAACAACCGTTGAATTATTAGTATACTGATGCGATGAATATAGTAGCAAGAATTTAAATAGATGTTCACCTTCTACTCAACGGGGCTCCCATTGAATAAGCCACAATATCGACTTTGGAGTCGGTGAACTCGCTGACCGAATCGATGAACCGACGGATCTGAAATTGAATGCAGCGAGTCATTTGTGCTACTGTAGGCTTTACTTTTCGTTCAACCATAGAAAATTTCCGCACCTGGACTACGTACGAACACTCCATATGGACATCAGTAAACAGTTTTCCTGGTGAGCCCCAGGTCATGGCGTATAATTCCTCAAGCTTGTACCCGGCTTCTTTAAAGACCTAAACACAAAAGAGAGACAGTGTGGGTAATTAGGCAAGTAACGTACTTTTTGATTAGAAACGTAGTCACCCGCTTCGTGCCCAACCCGTGGATGAAGATGACGGGGAGCCGTCTGAAACGGATGGTTTTGGAGGTTTCTGGTGAGAGAGAGGAGATAGAAAGGGAGAAAGCGAGAAGAGAGAGAGAGGAGCGAGAGAGAGGAGAGAGAGAGAGATAGAGAAACTAAACTAAAAACTACTTTGTCGGCTCCCTCGCTTTATGATCGTTCCCTCCGACACTGCCTCGATACACATCCGGGCGGTATATCGATCTCGCTGTCCGCTCTCCGTATTTTTCGATCTAAAAATACATCAGATTTAAATTCAGTTCATACGCTTACCAAAAATTCCTTAAAGGGCTTGCCAATCGAGTAGCTGGAAATTCGATGGTATAGCAGAAGTAGGAGAAAACTGGCGATTTTCATCTTGACCTTTTATTAATTTTTGGCTGAAGCCAGGCGATGTCTGAAATCTGGAATTAGAGAGAGAGAGATAGAGAGAGAGAGAGAGAGCGAGAGCGACAAATAGAGAGAACGATAAAGAGCGAGAGAAAGATACGCAGCTATTGAAATTTAGCAGGAACAAATTGAATAGAATGTGAAAGAGTGGCGGGAATACAGTCGAAAAGCCGTTCAATCAGCTGCTCTTCAAAAATTTGATGCAATGATTAGTGCAGATCACCGTTCTCCGCCGGAAATCCAGTTCATCAGCTGCCACGCTCGTTTCTTTTCTGCCATCCTCATCCTGACCGCCGAAAAAGCGAGCAAACGCAGTGGGGAGCAGCTGAGGGAATGACAATGCAAAAGCAAAATGTGTGAGCCTATTAACCGGGAAACACGATGGACAGTGTGGAATTTTCAGAGCACTTCTAGGCGTGCAAACTCAGGTTTGACCTTTAGCGCAATTTACAAGGCAAAGAGTACTAGGTGATGATCACTGGCTTGCGTCGTGCGGCCTTTTGTAGGTCCATCTCCGTGGTATAAACAGTTTTTCGAGGTTTTCAAATCGATTCTTTCGTTAGAATAGGTAAAGAACGGAATCCTTTGTACGATCGGACGATCGGATCGGGCATTCGAATAAACACTAGCCTGGTTATGTGGGAAAGTTACGACCAGCACCAAAAAGGTATTATGGGAGGATTACATGCGTACCTGTTATAAATGGGAGAATTATTAAATTCATCAATATGAATTAAGATTTTACAATTTTCGCTTGAATTTTGTTTTTTGCCCAAAGCATTGTGTTTCGCTGGAAAAATGAGTCGCTACATGCCGTAAAACGCCAAGAAATTTTTTCGATTTACGATTTAGAAAGTACTGTTATGTAAAGTAGGCTTCATGCAAAAAAATGGTTTTTAGGGTACGGTAACAACCTTAAAGGGGCTGGATCAAGCATCGAAATCTCGAAAAAATCGATGAATCGCAAGATTTTTGTGAGCGGTGTTTGTCGGTTCAAAAATGTCCCAAAAATTTTAATTATTGAAGAGGTAGTAGGAGGAGGAGGAGGAGGAGCTAAGAATAACCATTAAAACCTGTCGAAACTTTCAAATTAAACAAAGCCTTTCTAATTAAAATTTACTACCACTATCAGATTTTTTTTGTGCTACATCAAAAGCGACGCATCCTAGTGAGTGGTAGTGATGGAAGTAAACGCCGGGGTGTCGCCAGGATCGTTTTTTTCGGGGAGTTATGGACAAAGCTGGAAGGCGGGAAGAGGGGGAATAATGGACTGCCAGCATGAATCTGTAAGCTGTGTATATTTTGCCCCCGGAGCATACAGCAGACTAGGCAGCGAAAGGCTAACCGGTTTGCCCCGTTTTGACCGAACTGCCTGGGGGCGGCCAATATTTTTTTGGTGGTATTGGTTGTGTGTGTTGCGCATGCCACCACCCCTCACTAACACCCCCATCGAAAACGAACCCGATGGCAGCGAGTGAGCGCGAGCGGGGCGCAATTTAGGGCGCACACCGCCGGAGCTTTTGCTGGGGGGGGATAAGCCGATCCTCGGTTTTTGCTCCCCAAGGGGACTCTGTAAATTTCCAAGTGGTGCAATTTCTTTTGGGTTTCTCTGGGGCGAAAAGGCCTTAAGGACTGAAACTGGCACTAGAATCTGGGAGGTATTATGATGCAGGAATGGCAGGCTGTCTGGTAGAGGACATTGGGGAATCAGGATAAACAGTGTTTTCATATGAAAAAAAACAGAAAAGAAAGAATCGCGAAAACCAAACTCCTGAGGGCCAAAATCTCCAGTGTGCCAAAAATCCGCAGAGCAACAATAACGACAGCCAAAACTTTGGATGTCTGATTCCG